TTTTGGACTTTAGCCCTTGACATTTTCTTGGAGAACGACTGCCGCTTGCTACCTAACTGCCTGCTCTTACAGCCGCTAGATTTTTTCAAGCACCTTCAATCTTTTCAAATCAAAGGTAATCGCTTGTATTCTCTTGCACTTTCTCTTTGTTTTCTTTTTTTGAAAATGGTATCCCAAAAGCACACGGCATGACCTAGGTTAGTGATCAGCCGGTCACCGGGGACGGCTGAATCTAGAACTAGGAGTGCCGACTGCCCCTTCCTGGACCACTCTTTGCGAACTTCTCCAAGTCTGGCTGACTATGTCTCTGTGCAGGACACCATGGCCAGAACTAAAAGAACTGCAAGGGTGACAAACTCACACAGCTCCTCCTTCTATGCGCCTGTCAGTGAGATATCTGACGTGCCACCTTGCACCCCAAGCACCCCCAATGATTCCATTTTGGAAGAATCAGGGGAGGAGGTTCAAAATGACATTCTAGGCTTTGTTGATCTAGCCCGTCAGGCGGACGGCGGGTCCGACTCTTCTGACAGCAAACCCGAAGCGAGCACCTCTGGCAGGCCGTCTGACGCCTCTGAGGAGTTACGCTCTCGGCTGGAAAAAGCGAGAGAGTCCCATTCTGCGGAGAAGGGGGAGAACTGGGCTGAGCCGGCTGCTGGCCGGAGAGATATGTATGTCGCTTATTATTGCCATGTTCCTAAAGGAAGGCAGAAGACCATGTCTGAGAAGATAGGTAGTTTTAGGGCCGACCATATCATGGGCCATGGTTACATCCTTTGCGTGCCGGATGCCAAGGACACTATAGTCTGGCCAGAAAGGACCAGCTACGGGGACGAGTGTTTCGGTTGTTATGACGCATCCATCCAGGTTGGCCTTCGATTTCCCTTACATCCGGCCGTAGAGCGGATTTTGGATGGATACCAGTTGGGCGTCTGGCAACTTGCCCCCAATTCTTGGTTCAACATTCTGGGGTATGTTGCCGATAGTGAGATGATGAATGTGGATCCAAGCTTTGAGGCTTACGCCCATATGCACTATCTCAGTAAAACCCCAGAAACAAGCGGTGCCGGCTGGTACACTTTGTCTAGCCACAAGGGCTATATGATGACAATAGGGAAGGAGAACAAGTGGAAAGACTAGAGAAAACAAATTTTATATAGTCTCTTGCCCTGACAAAGTGAGAAACAAGAAGTACAACAAGTGGAACCGCAATCCACCTCTCCTAACAGGCGCCACTGAAAAGCCGCCTGTTCCAAGAAAGGCAAAAGAGGAGATCCTTGACCAGGGTCTCTTCAAAGTGAACATTCAAGCGAATGCCGAAACAGGGGCGAGAGAATTCATCCCCCAAAGTTACGTTCCTCATCATGACTGGCTTTTTTACGGGGACTATTTGGCCGCCTGCAGTCTTAGTATTGAGAAGCCGAGAGGTAGTTGGCCGAATGTGTTTACAGTATTTGTTAGACTTGGCTGTTTTTTGTACATCTTATCTAACCATTTGAAATCTTTTTACAGACAAAGAAATGGAAAGACTTTCGGCCACTAAGAAACCTGCCACCTACTACCGCTCCCTTCTGGGTAAGCGAGCTGCGAAAGAGTCGCCTGCCAAGCAGGCGTCCAAGGTGAATTTTTTTCAACTGTGAACAAGTATTATTTAGCTTTCTGTCGCCTGCTTCTTACTTATTGTGGTTTTTGTTACAGGGCAACTCAAGAAAGCCTTCCTCCTCCTCACAGTTGAATCCTAAAATTAGGAAACAGGCGGCTGGTGACGTGACGACTCCTGGGAGAGCCAGGAAACATGTGGCCAACAGGCCAGGAAGGACCCTTCCTCCAAATGGGGTAAAGTCCACAATCGTCCTAGAGAGCAGCCGGTCTCCGAATGAGGGAGAGGCGGTAGAAGGTATCAGTTGTTCAAACCCCTTGCCCTACCCTTGTAGGGTTAAGTTTAATTAGCAGTCAGCCAACACTTCTGAAAGTAGTCGGTCTGTTGGTCGCATTTATACCAAGTACATACAGGGTATTGATTGTGCAGATGCCCCTCAAAGGTCGGATCTTGTACAGCTGGCCAAGTCCATGCTGAAAGTCATCTCCCTTGAGGACAAGGAGGCGGTTAGAGGAGTCGACACCCTTAACCTAGACACCATCCTCGCTCTTCTGGCTGAGGTATACTTGTAAAGATTTTCTATTTCTTGTTTAGATAACTTGTGAGCCGTCTATAATTGACGTCTGTTTTTTGGCCGAATTGTAGTCTATGCTGCTAGTGCACAGTCTCCGCAAGCCCATAAACGAGAAGACCAAAGAGGTAAAGTCTGCGAAAGCTCGAGCCGCCTCTGTTTCTGACACAACTATGTTCCAAATTGCTCAAAATGAACTTCTGACTACTAACATAGTGTATTATCAGACGGCTGCCAACTTGCAGGCCAAAACGGATTTAGAGGCGGCCAAGAAGAGGATCTCTGAGCTGGAGCAACAAGTCAAGGATCTGAAGGCCAAGCTTGAGCCCTTCAAAGAGGCGGACCAGGAAGCAGCCGGCCTCTGAACCCTGGTGGACAAGCTGAAAGCCCGCCTACAAAACCAGGAAGTTCAACTCGCCAAGAAGTATACTCCAAGGGCTGAGGAGGAAAAGGCGGCCCTGGTCAAGGACATGATGGATGAATGCAACGTCGCCATGAAGATGACTTGGGGGCTCTCTTCCCGGAGTCCAGTTATGAGGCCTTGCATAATCAGTTCGCCGCCTCCTCTTAAGAGTACAATGAGAAAGTCATGAACCAAGCCAAAGAGGTTGAGGGAGAAGAAGAGGAGTAGTCGTCTGATTTTACCTCGGGGAAGTCGGACAAGGAGGAGGAGGAGGAGGAGGTGGATGCTGAAAAGGATAAGGAGCCTACTGGGGAACAGAAGGATGTGGCTCATGATACTGATAAGCCTCCTCCTGAAGCTTAGGCCCTTGGGTGATTTTTCTGCGGCCGAATGGCCATGTAATTTCTCTTCGGCCTGCGTGCCGTATGCTCTGCTTGTATCTTTACCGACCAAGGGGTCGGGTTTATTGACAAATTTTAAACTCATGTTTGTCGATCACCTGGCCGACTGTTTATATGAATCATCCGGCCATTTGGCTGGGTTCTCCAAATTGCTTTAAATTTTTGCATTTCATAAATTTTGCTAAGTATAAGTAACTTGCTTTTTTCATGAATGCTTATTTCATTATACCGATTATTCTTGCCCTTGGCGACTGCTTGCCTGGTTTTCAAAGGTGAATTGATTGACTTGGGAATTTTTAATACTTTAAGGAGTATGACTAATTTCCAGGTGAATCAATCACTATGGTGATTGCCCCAAACCAGGCGGTCAGTCGGCCAATGCACAGGCGAACATACAAAATTATCTTGCTATCGGCCTCAATATAGTTCTTTAGACGAACCACGCTTAGCTACTAAGTTTTGTACTTAGTTTATTTTATTGATTGTAAATGTCCGTTTGTTTGGTACCATTACAGAAACAGGCGTCAAACGGGATGTTTAACCAAAGTAGCAACCGCTTGTTGGGTTACAGGCGGTAGCTTTAATTGTTTCGCTAACCTAAATAGGAATCACTAGTAGAAAAACTTAAATGGGCACCGCCAAATGCGCACCGGGTTTTAAAAACCGGTGCGAAAAACAATTGGCCGGATTGAGGGAAAGAGATTTCGCACCGGTTCTAACAAAACCGGTGGGAAAAGTTAGTACATCGCACTGGTTCAATTCGAACCGGTGTGAAAACTCTTGTAAAATAAAAAAAAAAACCGGTTATAATTCTTTCTTTCTCTTTCCTCCTCGATCTTTCCTCCTCGATCTTTCCTCCTCTGTCATCTACCTCTCTCTCTCCTCCATTGAAGCGTACTCGACATTCTCCATTGAAGGGGCTTCTGATTTGCAAGTGCCCACCGTCGACCATTGCTGGTTCTTCATCTAATTGTCGGTGCTAGTGGTGGTGGGTTCCATCCTCTAATTGTCTCAAGCACCACCGGATGTGTTTGCAAGTGCCCACCGTTGACCATTGCTGGTTCTGCCTGCTCCGGTCGCACGCACCACCGTCCTTGTGCTCCACCACCACCGTCCAACAGCTGGCCACCAGGTTCGCTGTTAACTTATATTTATTTAACTTCTTACCTCAATTTCGTTTTCTTCTTGCTAGGGCTACAATTTTGATTGCAGTTTTTAGGTCAAAATTGGGGCAATTTCATTGTTATTGTTGTTGTTTTCAAATTATTATAGGCTATTAGTTCTGAAATATATTGGCATTTTCTAGGGTTTTGTTAATTTAGATTTTTTTAGCCTCTAATTTTCTGGAATTTCTTTGTTTTGTTTTGACTAACATTTAATTGTTGATGTTATAATTTTCTGGAATTTCGTTGTTTTGTTTTGACTAAAGCTTATGCTCCTCATTTTTCAGATAAGACTTGAAGAAAGGCATTCATGTTGAAAACCCAAATGAGTTAGAGGTCACTAGTGCTCGAGATGTTATGCAACAACTTCTTCAGGTATTGATCAACCTAACTAAACACATACTCAACCTACAGAAGACCTTGATTAGATTGTACAAGCATAATTAAGTTTGTTTGGTGATAGATAATCTTTTGTTCTTTGCTAAAGTCTAAAGTTTAGGTTAGGTTTTGGTGAGAGCATGGTTTGTTAAGGAGCCAATCTCAAGTATTCTCAACTCTTGACATGATTTTTGACCTCTTAAAATATGCCTCTTTACTAGGGGCCTCCTGAATGAGTTACAACAACAAACTTTACAAATATCTTGTGACAAGGTTGCAAATTAACTAGGAGCTTCTAGGATGACTAGCAATAATACGTATCAACTAGTAAAATTATGTGATGATTCCACTTGTCATCTTCAAATATGAACTCGTGAATGGTAAATATGACAATCTCGCAATATGTTTCAAAGTCTCTAAGGTGACTGATTTTTTAATCGATGCCTGTTTTTTACGAATTCTATATACAAGTGCCTAATGAAGGAATGTTAATGGTTGTCAGGGTGCTGCAAACAGAAAGGTGGCTGCCACTAACATGAATAGAGCAAGTAGTCGTTCTCACAGTGTATTCACCTGTGTTATTGAGAGTACTGTAAGTATTTTCCCTCTAAGTCTAGTATGTGTAAAAAAAAAAAACCAGCTCTTTTATAGTGCAGAATTTTCAAAGTTTGAAATTTAAGTGCTTAATGAATGGTGGTAAAACTGCAGTGGGAATCCCAAGGTGTAACACATAATCGCTTTGCTCGACTAAATCTTATAGATTTAGCTGGCTCTGAAAGGTAAAATCATAAATTGCAACTCGTTGCTAGTACTAGACTAATACAAAAGAAAGAAAATAGAAAGAGAGAAATTATTGTTCTAGAATCTAGTCTTCTTGTTGAGTGTTTTACTGCTATCTATTTCAAGTCTTAGCCTCACCAAGATGATCATTACAGGCAAAAGAGTTCTGGTGCAGAAGGTGACCGTCTTAAAGAAGCCACAAATATCAATAAGTCACTGTCAACTTTAGGTCTGTTTTTCCTTCTTTCAATTAAAACTATATAGCAGTAGCTCACAGTAAAGAATTTATCTCTTGATTGTCCTTACTTAATATAATGCTTCAGACTCGCGATAGTGAACCTCGTGAGCATATCCAATGGAAAATCCCATCACGTGCCATATCGAGATTCAAAATTAACCTTTTTGCTTCAGGTATTTTCTAACACAATTTTTTGCTCATTAATCTGCCAAGGAATCCTATTTGCAAGTCTGACTTGAGCTGTACTTTGGAATTCAACTCACTTGGAGGGAATGCAAAAACCACTATAATTGCTAATATTAGTCCATCCAACTGGTTAGTGCTTCCTGCATCCCTTTTCTTTTTAATCGCCACTTTCATCTATAATGTAATGGGAATCTAAACCAGGCAAAGTGTTCAGTTTATATCTTATACACATGGTAGTGTTGATTTAGCAATCTCGAATAATTCTCTTCTATTTTGAGGTGATGGCAGAGTTTATAATTTTGCTTAAGCAGATACAGAGTATTTCCTGTTTTTCTTTATCTTGAGTTCCAAATATAGAAGGTAGATTTTTCTTTATTTAGAACTTTATTCCTTGATATAACTTTTCGGCTTCTTGCAGCTGCTCACTGGAGACTCTTAGCACCCTGAAGTTTCAGCATGCTAAATTTATAAAGAACAATGTATGTTGTCAGGAAATCTGTACTACTTTGTGTTTGGCTAAGTTGGTTTTCTTTAGATATTTGCCTTTAAGTACCATTCTCTAAAAGAATATTAACTGGTTAGCTTCATGTTCATTAATTATAATATTTATATCCATTTGTTCAACCTATCAGGCCGTTATAAACGAAGATGCTTCTGGTGATGTCCTTGCCATGAGAATGCAAATTCAGCAATTGAAGGTATCTCTATCTTATATCATCCCAAGAACTAATACAATAGAGAATTTCTTCTAAGAGAAGCATAAGATTATATTAATAGACACATATTTCATAGATTGTGTAAAAATGCAAAAGTCTTGTTGCCAAACAAACTCAATTCTCACTTGAATTTGTACTAATCTTTTTATTTTTAGTACATTAGTATAATTTCTGTCTTCATGTTTCAAATATTTTTCTGAAGAAAATAGTTAAGCTGTTGTTGGATTGGTGTTGGATATCATAAAGAAGTTAAATTATATGAACCTTGTCTGTACTCATCTGATTTATCATGGTGCAGAAAGAAGTGTCACATCTGCATAGTTTACAAAATGGAGGAGTTGGAAATTAGGATAATGATGCCATGACGTTGGGGGTTTCGGGTGGGGAAAGGGATGGGAGTTAGGGTGGTTTCGGGTTGGGGAATTCAAGTTTTGGGCGGTTTCGTTGGTGGGGCTGGGGCGGGGGGTCTATTGCGCTCATGTGGCTCTGGAAGGAGGGTGGTTTCGGTGGTGGTGCAGGGGGAGGGGGTGGCAGTCGGGGCTGGGTTGGGGAATGGCTGCCGGGCTGGGTGGGGAATTGTTTAATTAATTTTTTTGATTTTAGGGTTTTTGAATTTTAATTAGATAATTGACTTTATTTTAGATTTTGGGGTTTCATTGTTGTATTATCGAAGATAATATGTTGGATTTTAGGGATTTTTGGGTCAAATACCTAGCGACAAACTCCTATGTTCCTTCACTGAAACGCAGTCAAGAGATAGAGTGCAGTGTGTGCTTAGAACGTGTGCTCGCTAAGACAACAGCCTCTGAACGGAAGTTTGGTTTGCTATCAGAATCTGACCACCCATTTTGTATAACTTGCATCAGATTTTGGCGTAACAGCTCACCAACCTCTGGAATGGATGTTAATTCCACATTGAGGGCTTGTCCTATATGTCGTAACAGCTACAGTGGAATCACAGAAATTGCAGCCTCTTTCTCCTTATACTGCGTAAGTTATATAATCAAATTTATCTGGCTAAAGTGGAATCACAGTGTAGTATGTTTTAATAGCAAGTGAATAAACTAGATTACCATAGGTAATTTACTCATGTGCATGCATCATTCTCCCACATTTACTCAATTGATTCAGTCAAGATGCCCTTTGTATTTTGGCTTCATTTAACTACAACATAGAAATACCTTTTTACTTGAAGTTTTTATTCTATGGATCATAATTTAGTCAAGTCATTTAGCTAGTCAGTAGTTGGCTCTCATCTTTACACAACATTTGAGATTACCATTTCAACTCATAAATTATTTGGGAAAATAGCTGATAAAAAAATTGGTTATCTTCTCTTATCCTTGCAGATATGAAGACTTGAAGCCCCCCTACTTCGCCAACCCCAACAACTCCTAATTCATTGGCCACTTCCATGGCCTCGGATGGTGCTGAATCTCAGACAGCTAGCTTGTCAAATAATGGTCCAGTTGAATCTATTGAAGCATAAGATGCAGGGAATGAGCAGACTTCCGCACAGCCAAAACCAAGACCACTTTCACCGTATACAATGTGTTGGAATATTTAGAGTGTCGGAGTGGAGCGTGCTCTACTGTTTGATCGCGCTCGTACTAGCTAGGCGCGACCCGCGATAAAACCGCGCCAAAACCGCGATGAGTTTCTGGAAATTTGGCAAGTCTTTGGAGGAGCGCCCGCGCCTCTATTAGGCGCGGCCCGCGCCTAAATCGCGACAAAATCGCGTCAACTTTTTGGAAAATCAGAAAGTTGGGATTCCAGAAGAGGAGCACCTGCTCCTACTATAGGAGCGCCCGCTCCACCATGAGGAGCGCCCGCTCCTCCCGGTGGAACGCCCGCTCCTCCCGGTGGAACGCCCGCGCCATCTGTCTTTCGCGAATTTTTGACGGTTAAGTCTTTATTAAAGACTTGATTTTCGAGATAGAAAATAAACAGAACATTTTCTCTGATATTCTCCTTAAGAAATTCTCCATAATTTCTCTCAAAATTCTTGCAAACTTTTGTGAGAAATCTTCTTGAATTTTGCCTTCTTTGTGAATTATTCATCATCAATTTGATTCTTAGTGCAAAGAACAATTGGGCTGACTTTTGTATCTCAAAGAGTATTTCCGAATCAAACCCAAGCACCATTGTGGGGAAATTAAACTCTTTAGGAATGTATTCATACGCCTAAGTCAGTGTGTCAAGGATTGAGACTCAAGTGGTCACCGGTTTTCTCATGTTCACGTTGCTTGTTAAAGCTTGGAGTAGAGGCAAGTATATTATCTTTCACAACTAGTGTTTTCATTATATTTTCTGTAATACTTTGGCAATTTTGTGTTTGGTTGAAATACATTGGTTTGTATTTGAGTTATTGTATAATTTGATTTTGATTATACAAAGTTAGGTGTTGTTCCCACAATTATTAAAGTAGTTCTTGTTTGTGAATTACTTGAAAACCTAACAATCTAAAGAGTTTAAGTTTTTAGAAGTAATCAAGCATGTCTAGTGTTGAAAGAATTGACCACAAATTTTGTTAAACTCAAGAAGTTTGACGGTGTGGAATTTCGGAGATGGAAGAAGAAGATGTACTTTCTTCTTACATCTTTGAAAGTAGCCTATGTCATTAGTACTCCAAGGCCTAGTGAACATGAGAATGAATCCTTGGAAGATGTTTGGGAAAGGTCAAAATGGGACAACGATGATTTTATTTGTCGTGGTCATATTTTGAATGGTATGGAGGATGATCTTTTTGATGTTTATCAAAATGTGGAGTCGGCCAAGGAGCTTTGGGAGTCTTTGGAGGGGAAATATATGGCTGAAGATGCTTCAAGTAAGAAGTTTTTAGTAAGTAATTTTAATAATTTTAAGTTTCTTGATGGTCGGTCCATAATGGACCAATTTCATGAATTACAACGAATCTATGGGAACTTGAAACAACATGGTATATCTATGAATGAATTGTTTGTTGTTTCAAGTATAATTGACAAGTTACCTGCTAGTTGGAAAAGTGTTAAGCATGAGCTTAAACACAAGAAAGAGGACATGTCTTTGTCCGAGTTGGCCACCCATCTTCAAGTTGAAGAAGGGATAAGAGCCATGGAAAGTGCTAAGGATGGGAATCCTAGCTCATCTACCATTAATTTGGTAGAGGAAGGAAAAACTGGTGCTTCCACTAGTGGAAAGAGGAAGAATAATACCTCTTTCAAGGGAAAGTCCAAGAAGCAAGCAAACAATAACAAGTTTGCTTGTTGGGAATGCGGTAAAGTTCGTCACCACAAGAAGGACTGCTTTTCTTACAAGAAAAGGATGGAGAAAGCCAAGGAGGGCCATGCTAGCACTAGCAAGGAACAACCCACCAAAGGTAATCCAATTCATGAGGTTGAATTTAATTCCGGTTTGGATTTAAATGCAACGGATCCTAACATTTTTATGGTGCAGGATGATGACTCATGGTGGATTGATTCGGGGGCTTCAAGGCATGTATGCAAGATGAGGCATTGGTTCAAAACCTTTCACAAGGTTGGTGATGGAGAAGATCTCTTTATGGGGAACAATTCAACCATCAAGGTCCTTGGTAGAGGACAAGTAGAACTAATGTTTAGTTCGGGGAATGCAATCATTCTTAGGGATGTGTTGTATGCTCCGGATACTAGTAGGAATCTTGTATCGGGGCCTTCCCTTAATAGTCTTGGCTATAAACTAGTGTTTGAAGCTAATAGGTGTATTATTACTAGAGGAACAAATTTCATAGGTCGTTGTTATTTATGTAATGGATTATTTAAGCTTTCTTTGAAAGACATGTATGGATTTGGTGATGTTTGTTTGAATGTTGATGCAAGTGATAATCATGTTGATTTAAGTTTTTTGACTTGTGGCATTCTCGATTAGGACATGTTAATTATAATAAAATGCTTTTCATGTCCAAACAAGAATTGATTCCATGTTGTGATATTTCTCCTAATAAGTGTTCTACTTGCATGTTGAACAAGATCACTAGAACTCCATTTAAGAGAGTTGAGAGAAGTTCTAACATTTTAGAACTAATCCATAGTGACTTGTGTGATTTTCATAGTACGCCTTCTTTGGCGAACAAAAGATACATGGTCACTTTTATAGATGATTATTCTAGGTTTTGTTACGTGTATCTTTTGCATTCCAAAGATGAAGCTTTAACCAAGTTTGATATTTATAAAAGGGAAGTAGAATTGCAAGTAGATTCATTTATTAAGAGAATTAGAACTGATAAGGGAGGGGAATACTATGATCCAAGTTATTTCCAATCTTTGGGTATAATTCATGAGACTACAGCTGGTTATGCACCACAATCAAATGGTGTAGCTGAAAGGAAAAACAGAACTCTTGAAGAAATGGTTAATTCCATGTTGTCTTACTCAGGTTTGAGTGAAGGGTTCTGGGGTGAAGCTATGTTGACAGCATGTCACATTCTTAACCGGGTTCCCACAAAGGGAAAAGAATCTACTCTTTATGAACTTTAGTACAAGAGAAAGCCAAACTTGAAGTATCTCAAGGTTTGGGGTTGTAGGGCAATTGTAAGAGTGCTCGGCAACAAGAAAAGAAAGCTCGGTGAAAAGGGCTTGGATTGCATATTTATAGGGTATGCTGAGCATAGCAAAACCTATAAGTTCTATGTAATAGAACAAAATGACTATATATCTGTTCATTCAGTTATAGTGTCAAGAGATGCAATTTTTGATGAAAATCGATTTTCATCAATGAGTAGACCGAAAGATCTACAAATTAGTGCCAATGATAGGGAGATAGTAGAGTTGAATGATCAACTTGAAACTCATGAAAGTACATTCGATAATGAGAATGTTGAAACTCCTTAATTGAGGAGAAGTACTAGAGAAAGGAAAATTAGGAATCCTCTAGATGACTTCATAATTTATTTGGTTGAAGGTTCTAGGGATGTCCTTAGTTCCACTACTCCATATTGCTTCAATGTGGATAGTGACCCAAAAACTTATAGTGAAGCAATTTCTTCCCAAGATAGTGCATTTTGGAAAGAGGCTATAAATGATGAGATAGATTCCATCATGGGAAATAACACTTGGGTCTTAGAGGATTTACCTTCCGGTTGCAAACCTCTTGGTTGCAAGTGGATTTTCACTAGGAACAGGAGACCGGATGGCTCCATAGTGAAATTTAAAGCCAGATTGGTTATCCAAGGCTTTAGGAAAAATCATGGTGTTGATTATTTTGACACCTATGCACCGGTTGCAAGAATAACCTCGATAAGGTTGTTAATTGCAATGGCTTCGGTATATAATCTAGTAATCCATCAAATGGATGTCAAAACGACATTCCTTTATGGAGATCTAGAGGAAGAAGTGTACATGAAACAACCCGAAGGGTTTGTTTTGGAAGGACAAGAAGATAAGGTGTGTAAATTGGTTAAGTCCTTGTATGGACTTAAACAAGCACCAAAGCAGTGGCATCGGAAGTTTGATGACACAATTTTGTCCTTTGGATTCAAGGTGAATCAAGCTGATAGTGTATATATAGCAAATTTGATGACAAAGGTCATGGTGTCATCATTTGTCTATATGTTGATGATATGCTTATCTTTGGTACAAGTCTACAACAAGTAGAATTGACCAAGGAATTCTTATCCTCATCTTTTCAGATGAAGGATTTGGGGGAGGCGGATGTCATTTTAGGCATCAAGATAATTCGGGACAATGGAAGACTTATTTTAAGTCAATCTCACTATGTTGAGAAAATGATCAAACGATTCAATATGTTTGATAAGTGTTCCGTGAACATCCCCATGGAACCAAATGTCAAATTGGTTAAGAATTTGGGGAAAACAATTTCCCAATTGGAATATTCAAGGATAATTGAATCCTTGATGTATGCCGTGACTAGTACAAGACCGGATATTGCATTGGCTGTGGGAAAACTAAGTAGATTTACTAGTAACCCGGGTGCTCAGCATTGGTTTGCAATAAGGAGGGTCTT